TTGGAGGTGAATCCCATCCTCCATCCTTTGTAGGCCTTTTTTTTTAGCCTCAGAAGGTCTGCTAGATCCCTGGAGAGCCAGGGGGCGCTGCTGTGCCCTCTTGCTGCCTTTCCTCCAAGATGGAACAGACTTAGCTTGTGCATTGAGGATTGCTCCCTTGAGGAGCAACCACCCTCCCTGAACTCCACCCCCCTGGGGCTGTGGTCCCTTAGGGCCTCACTGACAAGCCTCCAGAGCTTGTCAAAGTCAGCTTTCCTGAAGTCAAGGATTTCCGTGTTGCTGACTGTCTTGCCAGCTTTACGGTGGATGGCGATGGTGATCAGCTCATGGTCGCTGTCACCCAGCTTTCCATCACTCACTAGGTTGCCAATTAGGTTATCCCCAGTAGCCAGTACCAGGTCGAGCAGCACTTTACCTCTCGTTGGCCTGTAGACTTCTTGAGTCAAGTAGAGGTCATCCACACACAATAGGAAGCTTTACAACCGCTCGGATTTTGCTGAGTGATCCTCCCATGAGATGTCTGGGTAGTTGAAGTCACCCATGACAACCATGGTCCTGGAGCATGCGGCCTCAGCCAGTTCCTGGGCAAACTCCTGGTCAAGCTCTTGACTTTGGGTGGGAGGTCTGTAGTAGACTCCCACTGTTGTGTCCCCTGTGCCGTGTTCCCCACAGATTTTAACCCAGAGGGTCTCCAGTCATCCACCCTGGTCACCAGCATCAGCTTGCAGGGACGTGTAGCTTTCCCTAACATAGAGAGATACACCCCTTTTATCTATTTGATCTCTCCTGTACAAGGTATAGCTGTCTATACCCATGATCCATTCATGGGTGGAGTCCCACCAGGTCTCTGTTATCCCTGTGACATCGTAATTATTTGTGTTAAGCAGGAGGACAAGTTCCTCCCGCTTATTCCCCAAGCTCCTGGCATTTGTGTACAGGCAGGCAAGTGTCCCGTTGGGGGCTCTTGCCTTGCCCACAGATTGTACCAGGGCTGGGGCAGGGGTGGGCTCCCTTAAATGCTTTGGCCTGCTGGCTTTGCAAGGGTTGCTCAACAGGCCAGCAGTGGGGGTAGTCCCCCTGATCATAGCTAATTGTAATACACTTCCACAGACTTTGATTTTACAAACAAAGACCTGACACTACAATCTCACAATCTGATTCACATGGGTAGAATTCTCTACCCCTGAGAAACTCCACTGGCGTCACTGGGTCTCACTACACATCCAATTGTATGGCTGAGGCCATAGGAAGTATTACTTAAGGAGCAGTCTATTTTACAGTCACATGTGGAACTGGATTCCAAAAACTTTTAAAAAAAAAGCTTTTTTAGTTTAGTCTGAAAGTCTGCTTTTACCATAAAAACAATGTACAACTTTTGAAATCCTAAAGGACTGGTTCTATAAACAAAGCTATTAGATATGTAAATTATCAATTTTTAATGCAATAAAGAATATGCCAGTAAGGATTCTTAATAGAGAGTACAGGATTTAGTAAGAAAAGGTCACAGCACATTCCATTCCATTTTCTTTTTAACTTATCTCATATTATTCCAATTATAAATTGACCCTGCATATAAGGCCAACCCCACATTTTCAAGTTCAATTTTTAGAAGGGGGAATAAAAAGCAAAATAAATAAATAAATAAAAGCTTTTCCCCTGAAAAGGAAGTCAAGGAAGCCCTTGAACTGCTTTTGCCCTTACAAAATCCAACATCAAATAACTAAGGACAATATTCAAGGGGGTTAAATGCACTAAAAATACTATGATAAAAATTGCACTAAAAAAAAAAATCTGCCTTTGTGTTTTTATTGTCTGAATCAAAATAGTGCAAGTACTAAACTCAAGACTGTATGGGACCTAATAAATAACTTCTTTGTGGGGGTTAGCTTAAGTGTAATTTTTATAGTTTTTTTGGAGGGAAAAAGGATCAACTTGAAATTAGAACATTACACTTAGAACCATTAATTGACAGTTTGTGTATATCCAGTATAGGTTTCAATTGCAATAAAACTACAGAGATTAAATCAAAAGATACCTGGTTAAACATTTTTGCTAACTGTACTGAAAACCCCTCAGTTGTAGACGCACACAAAAATTTGCTGACTGTAAAAAGCCTGCAGTTAAAAAGGCAGAGCACAGAGGCAGAAAAGTAAATAGCCAGGTGTAGCCAGAAAAACTTCTTCACATATGCTATAGATGGTTATCAGATGGTTAGAACTGAAGAATTGTAAGTATTTAGCTCAACCACAGCCTTGATCAAGCAGCAGAAAAAAACCTTCAGCAATCTGAAAGATTACAACAATTGCTCATGTTTAACAAATGGGAAACCAGCAACCAAATCACTCAGGAAACTCTTTCTTGGACAACTAAAAACAACACAAAAGACCAACATTATAGGGCCACTTCATATTTGTATCATCATTTCCAAAAAGCTACCATTAATCCAAGTGCTAAAAAAGAGACAATTCTGGGGCCAAAACTTGACACTTGGAGGGGCAAATGTTTATCCAAGAACTGGAAACCAACAAATCAAACTGGCAAGTACTTCTATCTATCAGAAAGCTCCCAGAAATACTGGGAGCTTTCCTAAACTTCACAGACTTTAATATTGGGTCATAAAAAGAAACAATAAGTGAATGTGCACCGAAGATTCAATTTCATGTATAAATCTGTAGTTCAGATAGTGTGTCAGGACATTAAGCAGTGAAAAAATCAAAGAAAGGAAAACCTCAGTGCCTTAACACTAATATTTAAAAAAATTTATTAATGACATGGTATAGTACTCACTTAAAAGAAAGCCTTTCTGTCAACACCAATGGCCACTGGATCTGGCCCTACTAATTATAGAAATTAAAAGCTCAATCCATGCAAAAAACAAAGTGGAAAACCACCGCCAGAATTCATAACTGAATGTGTTATTGAAAAATGATGTTACTTACGATGTTCCTTGCTGAGAACTAGGCAATGTTTTTGAAGATGCATCATACTGTTCTGTAAAACCAAAGAAACAGTTGGTTTTCTGCATCTCACTGCACAATACTTTATTGAATAAATTTTTATTTGTGTATTTAATAATGAGGCTTTCAACTTCAAAATTTTATCAGATTTATAGTGCTTATGTAGATTATCATTATGGCTGCTTGCCAATCAAGATAGGTTTTCCTAATATTTTATAGTTTGACCGTTATTACTTATTTGTTACATAGAAATAAAATGCCCTAATCAGGCAAAGTTCGGAATTGCTTAAATTAACCAAAGTTCAAGAAAGAGCTGGCACTTGTGCTCCTAAATTAGATACTTCTGATCACACACACTGTATAGTTTCCCTTCTACAACAGGAAGTCTACTTCGGATTTTTACTTACTCTGGCTTTGTATTACTGATCCAGCATGCTGGGATTCCTAGAAAGCAAGAACACAATAAAAAGCAAAACATGAAAATACTGCATTAAAACACACACACACATACACCCTCCCCCCGCCCCCCGCCCCCCCAATCAGATCTTATTTACTATTAATTAAAATAGTGTCTGCTTGCAATTTGCACTTTTGCAGGTTGAGGGGCTAACTTTGCAAAGGTATAGAAAACTTATACCTTTCAAGCATTGCAAATGGAATTGCAGACACTTACAAAAAATCATAGGGAACAGTCTAACTTGAGCTAGCTATGCTTTCCTGAACTTTAACTGTTTGATGTTACGAAGCATAAGATGTACTCGGGTCAGAACAGACAAAAAAAAAAAAAAAAAAAAAAAAGAGAGATACATGCACTAAGAGTACATACCAGTACATTAATTTTAAGTGAAAAGAACTAAACATTTTAACTAGGAAATAAAAAAAACAATTAATTGTGCTGTAAGAAATACAGATGACATACTGAAAACCTTTATGGTACTCTTCCCCTGCCTGCAAGTTAGATGTTTTTGCCCTTGGTTATTCACCCAAGTTTTTTCTGTTGCTAAAACCATGTCTTAACTCCGAAAAAAACAGACTTCACTTTAAAAAAATTCTAGAAGATGATTACAGAAAGACATATGTAACAAGTCTAACCCGTTCAAGCCCAATTACTCAGAAGCGGAAGCTGACCTAATTTCTAAGCAAATGAGATGAGCTTATAACATGTGAAATCAATCAGGTTTTCATTTCTTTTATATAATTTCTTCTAAAGACAAACAAAAATCTAACAGCCTCAGGCTGTACCAACAACAATCAGATGGTCTGAAAATACACCCAGGGGTATGAAAGCTGTATTTTACACATTAAAAGGAGATATATGACCTTTGTTGGAAAAGGAAATTTTGAAGGCTCAGCTGTGCTTGGAGTATGGATAGCTGTCAAGGGAGGTGGCCATGAGTGGGTCATTTCCTAGAAAGGATTTAAAAGAAAAAAATGTGACTAGTAAACATTTTTATATAGCAGACGTTCAGTGCTTAAAACGTTCATATTAATACATTGAAAATCTCCTCACGGATCTGCCCATATATAAAAGAACACAGCAAAACTTATATTCTGGTCATTCTGAATAGACAACTATGTAACTTAATTTGCCAACCTTTATGCATGTTTGTAGACCCACTGAAATCTGCCTAAAGTTAAGTATTAAGTGGAAGTGTTTGCATGATTGAGTCCTAACTATATTGTCACCTTCATATTTAATGATTGAAGAAGCAAATAAAGACTTATACACGTAGATCTTTGGTTTTCAAAGGACATCTTCCTTGTTTTGAAAGTTGCTGTACCCATCAGTGGTAACACAATGAATAAATTAACGGTGCCCTTTTCGAAGGCCTTCATAGCAGAAAGGGGTCAAACTTTAAATTAGACCTTCATTCAATGTTCCTATTTATTCTTCAAAAACTCATTCAGATTTGGGGCAGAAGCTGTCTATGTAGGCACTATAATAAACAAACCCTCTACTGCTCCAGCAATCTGTTGTATAGAAATGTACTAACATGACTTAAATGCCTGGATAGATTATCATGATCGCCCAGGTCAGATCTCCTGCATAACACCACAGAATTTCATCCAGGGATTACTGTAACAAGCCTACAAAACTTGTGGCTGAACTACCTCATCCCTTTTAGGAATACAGGTAGTTTTGACATAATGACTTTGCACACTGGAGATGCTCGCAAAATCTCAACGTATTGGCTAGTTTGAAGAATGTTCCTGTGTCTGCTGGGGTCCACCCTATAATTTGAGGAGGACGACAGAATGAGGCAATTCTAGCTCTTTAGAAACTCCTGTCTTTATCCCCTGGCCTGCATAGATGTAGTCTACCTACAGCCACAGTTAGAAGTCGCTTCCTCAAATGAAGCAAGCCATGTATCAGCAGGTGAAGTGGGCAACAATGTCCATTCTAATAGTCAAGTCTCGCCTAAACTAGGGATTCTAAAATGTTACCTAACTGGAATACTGTGTTTGAACTGTTTAGGATACACAAGGCTCCCAGCTTTAAACATATGCTTTGCTGTTTGAATAAAGATTAATCTAGACAAGGCCCCAGGGACTTAAAAGGGCCTTGGGAAGATCAGGAGATAGTACTGATTTGGTTCCTGCCAATGTTCTTAGCAGTTGACAAAAAACATACCCATCCCAAGAATTAAACACCTGTCTAGGATTTGCCATTTTTCTTCCTTTCCTGAGAATATGCCTTCTCAACACTTTCAAATGTTCATTAACAGCCCAAATTCTCTTCCCAATTTAACCTTGCATCATTCTGAATGAGCATCATTGCAGTCACCCTTCACAGGAGAACAGTATGTCAAAAAATTTGAGACCGAATTCCCAGAAGTCATTCATGTAGGAACAAAATCAAATGCGAGACTGATTATAAACACATCACATGGATTGCAGAAACTGACAGGTGAACTGTGAGTGAAAAAGGTTCTGCACTGTGTCAAATGCACAGTGGTGTTAAAGTCTTTATTAAGTCAGAGTCTTCAATCCTTTTTTTTCTAATTAGAGCAACATTGGGGAAGAGGTGAAATGTCACTATTTTTCCAACCAAATAGCATTTCAAGAAGAACATTAGGAAGTTAAATATGTCAATCAAAAGATTTACCATGAAATATACCTACATTGCTATATTTGGCTCTACAAACATCCATTAAAACAGTCTAGAGAGATTTCTATGCAAGAACCGTGAGCAGAGGATTTTACAGACCTATTTATCATCTTTATGTAACTCTTATCACAGTTAACAATGTTAATGATGATAATGTGATCAAACATTTCCCTTGTATTCTCTCTTTCCTCCCATCATTTCTCTCACTCACTAATTGTGACTTGTTGCAAAAACAAATTACAAGCTCCCTGAAGCACTGTACTGTTATCATGGCTTTTTACCTATTTCTACACTGCCTAGCATACTGGGATCCTGAGCAAGCAAAAGATTTCTTTCTTTCTGGCAGTACAATATTAATACTGATCATATTTTAAAAGCTAGACAGTTAATTTTATCAGTGAAGTACTCCCAGGTGTACCATTCCTGCCATGGTACTATATTGTGTAGACAAAGTATTTAGAGGACATGGGTTCCTTGTAAGATTACTTTCTGAGAGCAATCAAAGCATCAGCAGCATTAAGGGAAGCAGCATTGAGGGAAGCGGATTGTGGAAACATAGACCTATACTATACATAAACCTATACTAATCACACAAAAATTTTTGCTCCCCAGGCTGTAAGGATAGGGGTAGTCAGGATGGCATAGTGAGTTCAGTGTCTTTGGAGGAAAAAAGGGTTCAGATTCAAAAACAACAATCCCAGAACTAAGGGACAGAATTGTTTGGTTCTGTAGTATTTAGTGTATAATCAGAGCTATTGCATTTAGAGTCTGGCTTGAATATTTACTCAAGAAAAGATGGCTTTTTTTTAGTTTTATTTGTGTACTCTGATGGATGCCCAAAGTTGACATTTCTGACATGCAATATGTACTGATCTAACAGAAGCACACTATAATTTCTCCCCATATTAATTTAATCAAATCTGGGGGACGGAGGAAATGGGGCATGCAAGCGAACATTACAAGGGTTTCGCTATATGACTTTAAACAACTGAACTGTGACAGCTATACCCTTACCTTCAAGATTTCCTCAACACAATGGACATCATTGGGGAAGGTTTGCTAAAATGTAAAAAAAGAAAGATAGTGTGAATTTTCAATCAGTTTTTGTGAACTCTTGGCCTGAAATCCAAGTAGATGAGCAAAGGCTGATCTGATATTTCTAGAAAACATACTGAGTAAATAAAATAACACAAGTTAAACTATGGAAGTTCCCCAAAAATCACAAGAAAAAGAGGTTGTAAAAATTACTCTCGCCATTAACAAAGTTCATGCTTTCAGCTCTTGACTGGAGAAAACAGGAAGGAAAGAAAGAGGAAGGAAAAACAGATGAAGTTTATATCCCTCAACAGCAACCACTGTTGAATGGTTGGAGAGCTCTATCACAGGAAAAAGGGAACTCAGCTTAGCTTGGAGCACAGAATTGCCATGACACTGGTACAAACAGGGAAAGGGAAGGACACACTCTGATGCAGTCACAGCCATTCATTTAGCTCCCTCTCATGTCTTGACTTCTGTCTGTTAACCTCACCTTTTTCCAAGAGTGCGAGAGCAAGCATGTTGAACAAACCCACTTCTTTGACCAGAGTGACCTTCTTCCACCAATTTCACAACTTGCTTTACCACTTCCGTTGACCTAAAAGTATCCCCCCAACGTGCAGTATCAGAAACGCCCCAAACCCCCGTAACATTCAGAAAGAGAGGCAAGACTGAGTAAATGCAGAGACAAACTACATTACCAGTGCCTAGAGTCACAGCTTGAGAACTGAAGCTTTCATCACAAAGTTTCTAATCCCCATAGTTGTGAAGAAAGTCTTGAAAAAATTATTTAATTATAACCAGTACCATAACAACTCCCTAAATTTGTAGGCAGCCTGAAACAACAGCAGTTCTAGATGGCCAGGGTGAGGGAGAATTGTTACCCTACGTCACTGTAGACCATGTAAAGGAATGCCTTGAGAGGCTGGACACCTTCAGGTCAGCTGGCCCAAACAGTTTACACCCCAGGGTACTTAAAGAGCTGGCAGACATCATAGCTCAGCCCTGGCCTGGATCTTAAAGAACTTGTGGTGCTCACGTGAAGTTCCTGAAGACTGAAAGAAGGCCAATGTAGTGCCTATCTTCAAGAAAGTGAGTAAAGTAAATCCGGAGAACTACAGCCTGATCTCTATCCTGGGGAAAATCTAGGAAAAAGTTATCAAAGAGACCATGCTTGACAAACTGGCTGATAAAAACATATTGAGGGACAGCCAGCATGGGTTTGTTGTGGGTAGGTCTTACCTGACCAATTTCATTTCCTTCTATGACCAGGTGACATATCACCTGGACAAGGGAGAAGAGATAGACATCATATATCTTGACTTCAAAAAAGTTTTTGTTCTGGTGTCCCATGATCTCTTAATGGAAAAATTGGCTAACTATGGCCTCGGCTACATCACAGTTTGATGGCTGGACCCAGAGAGTAGTAATAGACGGAAGTAAATCATCGTGTTGTGGTGTGACCAGCGGGGTCCCCCAAGGCTACGTCCTTGAGTCTATACTCTTTAACATCTTTATTAACAATGTAGACATTGGTATCAGAAGTGGACTGGCCAAGTTCGCTGATGACACCAAACTTTGGGGTAAAGTGTCCATACCTGAGGATAGACTGGTGATCCAAGCCAACCTCAACAGGCTCAGTAAACGGGCAGATGAAAACCTGATGGTGTTCAACACCGAAAAATGCAAGGTACTCCACCTTGGGGAAAAAAACCCCCACAGCACACTTATAGGCTTGGCAGTGCTACGCTTGCTAGCAGCACGGCCAAAAGGGACTTGGAGGTCATGATTGACCACAAGATGAATATGAGCCACCAATGCAATGTCGCAGCTGGTAAAGCGAGCATCCATAGATGCCTCTCAAGCAAATCCCAGGATGTCATCCTCCCACTGTACTCGGCCTTGGTGAGGCTGCAGCTGGAGTACTGCATCCAATTCTGGGCTCCACAATTTAAAAAGGATGTGGAAAAATTTGAGAGTCCAGAGGAGAGCCACACATATGATCAGAGGGTAGGAGAACAGGTCCTATGATAAGATACTGAGAGACATGGGACTCTTCAGCCTGGAAAAGCCCAGGCTCAGGGGGGATCTGGTGGCTGCCTATAAATATATAAGGGGTATACATCAGGATCTCAGGGAACACCAGCCCACCAGAGCGCCCCAAGGAATGACCAGGTCAAACAGTCACAAACTCCAAGACAGCTTTAGGCTGGACATAAGGAAAAACGTCTTTGCTGTCCAAGCCCCCAAGGCCTGGAAGAGACTGCCTCCAGAGGTGGTGCAAGCACCTACTCTCAAGTCTTTTAAGAAACATTTGGACATCTATCCTGCTGGGATCCATTGACCCTAGCTGACTTCCTGCCCCTGGGGCAGGGGACTGGACTCGATCTTCTGAGGTCCCTTCCAGCCCTAATGTCTATGATATCTATTAATGAGCAACTGCTCCATGAACCTCAGCAGGCGGTTCCCTCCAAGATCTCTTCCCCCATCAACATCACTCCAGCAGAGGAGCCTATCTGAACCAGGAAACAAGTAGTCCTGAGCACTCCCAATGAGATTCACTCCAGGTTCTGAAGAAGCAAGGGGTGGTAAGGGACTTGTTTAGAAGTGCGGCAGAATCCTACTGCTTTTGGAGGCAGAGGGATCCTTTGTTTTTTCACATACATCCCTGGAAAAGGTAGACACTTCTTCCACTATTACTTTAAGGTTGGAATGGAGCGACAGCAGAAGGATAGGGCCAGTGAGGAACCATCTAGGAACTCTGTCTAGGCACACAGATTGCCCCAAGCCAGCCATAAGTGTATAAATTAAGCTCTGAGGAAGAGTCAAAAGTAGAAGTAACACCAATGTTTCCCAACCACATCTAACAAAACAGCAAATATTATGTCTGGTGTCACACACATTTTAAACATCCTATTGGGATATACAGAGAGCAGAAAACCACCTAGCAGTTTCCAGTAGGATACATCTATCCACAATACTCAATGTTACAAAGCAGCAAATAGCATAAATACAGCCACACAAATAAAAGAAAGCAAATGCCTCCTGCCTGTCGAGCCCATGTCTGTAGAAGGTATAGAACAAACTCAACCAGTTGCTGCATAATGGCATGGTCATGGCTGACAGCAAACAGAGATGCTCAGTGGGAAAGAATTAATAAGAAACACTCTAATTCTTGCACCAAAAATAGGAAAAGCTGTCTGAGAAATGTTAAGTGACAGGACACAACACTACTTCCACCTTACAGCTGGCCAAGGAGGATAAGTCTATGTAATTTATATGCATTTGGGTTTTATTTGCTATTCAAGCTAACTGCTACCCTGAGAGTAACATATCCATTATGCACGGGGACTTCTACCTGATCAATGATATCCTTAAAGTTAGAATTAGAAAATAATTTATTAAGTTCAATTTGTTGACCAGTTACTCTTACCAACATGTAGCAAATTCCATTTTTCCATCCGTCACTAGAAAAGCACCAATTAAACAAAAACACCTGGTTGCGAGTGTGCTTATGGAAGCAAGATTATGGGGGGGGGGGAGTTTGTTAAATTAACTCCAACACTGGCTAAGAGAGATCAGATCTGAGGTCTGCTCTCAACTAGAAAGTGTCTTTCTCTGTCCCTTCCATTTTACTAAGAAAGAAACCAATCAAGTCCACTCATGGCATCTGACAAAGTAGATTGTCATCTATAAAAGCCCATGCCTCTCTCAACAAATTAGTCTATAAGTGCCATCCTACCCTGCCTTCTAATAAACAAAGTTGGCAAACAGAGTGTTAACATAGTAAGGTGACAACCCAAGGATTATTTCACCTGTAAGAGAGGTGGGTTTTTTTGTTTGTTTGTTTGTTTGTTTTTTACACACACACACACCCCTACCTACCCACCCACTTACCCACCCTTTACACATGGAAGTGAAAGGGCAAATAAAACCTTCCCCCACCCATTCCTTTTCAAGATCTCTAAAGAGCTGAACTCATTTATTCCTAATCCATACTGAGCTGTCAGTATGGCTGCTGTCACATGGTGAAGATTTCACTTTTGTCTAATTCTGATCTTACCTGCTTCAACATAAATCAGAAGCAACTCCCCTGGGTGAAAAACCAAACAAATCAGGCAGCAATTGTAAGCGAGTGTGTGTTCATTCAAGAGAAAGAAAATGCAAAATTCTTGTCCTGTGGTAGAGATATACATGCATAGCTAGTGCACAGAAGGGCTCTTCTCTCTCTTGTTAATCACAGCAAACATTATCTTGTATTCCAACAATCAAACTCACCTCTGGGATTCATGACTAGCAAACTCCCCAGTGAACCCAGAAACCTGCATCTCATCACACTGAAATGGAAGCAGCTTACTTAACTGGGCAAAGAACTCTTCTGAAATAGTCCTGAATGGCATGCAGTCCTTGAAAGGATTGGTTATACATGGGGAGGAAAAAGGTTCCCACACAATGGGTATTAAAAAGTTCCGTCTACACTAGACTACTAGAAAATCAAGTCAGTTTTTACTGTCCCAGAACTTAGTGTTTTAAGAGTTTTATTGATGGCAAGAGTGAAGCACAGTTAATATGAGGATGATGCCTGTTTTGGGTATCTTCTACCTCACTCCGAGTGAGGCTTTCTAAGCAATTCTTGATTCAGGTACTGTAGATCCGATAAGGCTTTGAAACTGGTTTAGCTTTGTAAAGAGAACTTCTTTGTAGTTAAATCTTCAGGAAGATTCATTTGATTCCTAAAAGACTTGGTTCAACAACTGCCTGCTGCTGTACTTCTTCATACATTGAAGACATTAGTACAGCAAGACCCATTTTGTCCCATGCAGCCTGATGAGATGAGCAGCCTGCCACCAAAACACATACTCACGCCGTTTCTTAAAAGAAACATAACCACTATATTCTACAGCCACAGCACAGTCATTGTAGGGGGATTTTTCTCTGTGTATTCAAGTCTATGTCAGATTTAACTAACAACTACCATACAAGTACAAACAGTCCCAGGGAAACAGTGAAAAAGAATTAGGTAT